CCAACCCTAACCCTAACCGTCATTGGGTGATGAGCAAATCACACTAAATTGCACGAATTAGATCGTACAAATGAATACGAATTAGCCACTTAATAAAAAAGTTACGAATTGCCGTGAGATTGTATTGATCTGTCTATCGCGTTGGGACGTCAGGATATTTATTTATTTATTTATTTATTTATTCGATTAATATTTATTGAGAAAAGAAAAAAAACTATATTTTTAGAGTATCAAAAATGCTGGGTCACCTAAACCCAAATTAGGTAAAGTGAATAACCCAAACATTGAGTTAAATTTGGTCCTATTAATTTAACTTAAAAAAGTATCTATCTATCTATCTATCTATCTATCTATCTATCTATCTATCTATTCTTTGTTCTGTTGTTCTATCCATCCATCCATCTTTCTGTCTGATTTCAAATTTACATTCTCATTCTGACTTTTGGCTTTTCAGATGTTTTATCCAAAGAATATATTTCATCCATTCATTAACTGACCTTTTAGCCACTAGCGTTCACGTAGCTTGCAGAATGAACGCTGACATTGACTCTTTGGAACTGAAGGCAATCTCACCTATGACATTCACATTGTATGTACAAAAAAAAAAGTATTTTGTTAACAGGATTGTGTTCAAGCGCAGATTCAGCAGATTAAATGCTCTTCTTTTCTCACTGAATTTATGAATAATGAGATGAGCAGGGATGATTTTTAAAGTGCTATTTTTATTATTTCCCCTCGTTGATCGCTGTGCCCCTCCACCATGTTTACTGTAATCTATGTATTGTATACATTTGTGTTTATAAAATTTCATAAATAAATACAAAATTACAGCTGAAATCTGATGGTTTGTCTCATCATAGATATATACACTAGATATTGCATGAGGACTCTGAGCATGCGTCAATAGCGCCGCCATATTTGTACAGTGCTCCCAGGACAAGTGTCCTTCAGCCGCACTAGTCAAGACAGTGTTACTACGTAAAGATACTGGATTTAGCGCTGTTGTACGGATGTAGTAACGAGCAAACAAAGAAAACAAAGCACAAAGGCAGAACGTGTCATAGGTACAATTCATTTTTTTTCTGTTTTTGTATGTTATGATTTTGTGCTAAACAGGTAGCGTTATTGGTGATAATACAGTCTCTTACTGCATTCACCATAAGGTAAACTCCCGATCATAGATATATGTGTATATGTGTATTTCTTTGGCTCTGAATGGCCACAGTCCTCCACTGCAGCTTGGTCCCACATTCATTTCAAAGGAACACTACCCTGTACTAAAATGGCGGCTCTATTGACGCATTCCTTCCAATAGACAACAACAGGGTAGGCAACATCTAATGTATATATCTATGTTATCTCATTACATAAACACAGACATGTTTGTTTGGTTGGTGTGTGTGTTTGTGTGCACTTTGTTTGGTTGGTTGTGGGTCGGTCTGGTTTGTTTGGTTGTGCGTGCGGGAGTTTGTTGGTTTGTTTGGTTTGTGGGGTTGCATGCATGCATTTGTTTGTTTGCTTGGTTGTGGGTGTATTACTGGCTATGTATTCTTGGCGTGGGTTTCCTCCGGGTTTCCCCCACAAGTCCAAAGACATGTGGCGTAGGTGAATTGGATAAGCTAAAATTGACCGTAGCGTATGTGTGTGAATGAGTGTGTGTGGATGTTTCCCAGTGATGGGTTGCAGCTGGAAGGGCATCCGCTGTGTAAAACATATGCTGGATAACTTGGTGGTACATTCTGCTGTGGCGATGGCAGATTGATAAAGGGACTAAGCCGAAAAGAAAATGAATGAATGAAGAATCTTAAGACTCACTGATGCTCTCCATCCAAATACAGCAAGCTAGAGCTGAGAGTGGTCAAATCCCAAATCTCACATTTGACAAATTTCACAATCACCCCACAGATTAAGATTGGATATCACACACTGTTGATCATAAGCGGCTCGATCTCCCCTGGAATATGAATGCAGGTTTGTACAAGAATGAAGGAGGACAGCCAGATGCTTGACACTGCTGTATTTTGGGATAGCCAGAGGCCGAGTGTCAGGTTATGTAATTCATATGCTGATTTCTCGGACTGAGTTTTACTTGGTTGGACGGGAAATGGAGCAGAAATTCATTCCTCTCGCATCTCCAGCAGAGGCTTTTCCCATTACCGATAACATGACATTTTATGTGTTTAATGGCTTGTGACAACTGCAAGCATGATAACAGTTGGCATAAGTTACTGTCAATGAGGTTTTTTGGGGGTTTTTTTTGTACTTTTTGGTTGTTAGTGAAGTTCAAATTTGGACATACAGTAGATGACACTACCACTGTACGGTGCACTAACTATTAGGGAAATTGTGGCTCTGATAACTTATAGAGCCAAATCAGTCTCAAAAGTGATACATTTACAAAATAAAATTCAATTTATGATTTTCGAATCATGTTTTACATTGACAAATTAGATTTGTGTATTTTTAAATTGTGTTTTGAATTTACGAATTGGATTTGTTTATTTACTAATCGTGTTTTCATTTTTCTAATTGGATTTGAGTATTTACGAGACATGTTTTGTAAATTGGATTTGTGTATTTTGAATTGTGTTTTGAATTTATTAATTTAATTTGTGTATTTTTTTAATGATGTTTTGATTTCACAAATCGGATTTGTGTATTTTTTTTATGATATTTTAGATTTACAAATCCAATTTGTGTATGTACAAATCGTGTTTTTATTTACAAATTGGATTTGTGCATTTTTAAATCGTGTTTTGAACTTACAAATTGGATTAGTGTATTAACAAATTGTGTTTTGATTTTATAAATTGGATTTGTGTATTTACAAATTGTGTTTTGATTTACAAATTGGATTTGTGCATTTTTAAATCGTGTTTTGAATTTACGAACTGGATTTGTGTATTTATGAGTCGTGTTTTGAATTTTTTAATT